AGTTCATATTGGAAGCAGCTGAGTTCCTTGTTATCCCACACCATGTAGGCCATGTAATGACATCCTTGTGCCACCTTCACCTTTTGTCAGGCTGCAGCTGCTCCAAACTGTGACATTTTGCAGAATATTCTCTTAATTACCAACATCCAGTTTATCATACCATGTGAAATGTGTTAATTAATCCCATTGGTGGACAGTACTGAAATACACCTAGAACTGTCAAAAGTGGGGTGGTTTCCAGCTTTTACTGTCATTCTTCTGTAGAGATTGGTATAGCAGAGAAAGAAATATTATTAATATACAAAGATGCTAAAATCTATAAATAGAAACAGTAAGCTTATACTTCTTTTTTCCTCCTAGTCTTAGTTTCTTTCTCTCCCTCCTTCTCTCTTTTTTCTCTTTTACTGTCATTGCAAGTGCTGACAGATGCTAAAATGTAAAATGCCTTGTTGAATTCTGGGAAAAATAATAAACATATTCATAGTAGCTGGACAATTGACTGTATAAAACCTTAGTGTCATTAAATGTACTCACAAATTAGTATCAAATGATATATGAACACCACAGTTTCCTAAGTACCTCAGAAAGCATTGATCAGCACAGCCTGAGTGGGAACAACTTAATTATTTTATCAACAGTGCTTTATCTGCTTTAATTTGGTCTGTATATATTTCCATGACAACTGAGGGAAAAATAAACTCTTTACCAAAATTCAGTGAAAGCAAGACAAAGCAAACTGCTTTGATTCATGCTGTTCTGATAAATGTCAGTTTGGCAATCAGCTGTGAATTTTTTTTCTGTAACAGATAAAACTTTTATTTTTCTCTTAAAGAAACAAAAGTGGGGCATTTATAGAAATTAGGGCTTTTGTTTCTTTATAGAATTTGTTTTGAAATGTTTACATTTATAGATTTCTCTGCTTTTTAATGCTAATGATTGTTGTCTTGGGTATATAATCCTTTCTGCTATATCTGATTTTCTAATCTGTCTTGAAGAGATCTTTAAATATGACTGAGCTAAAAAGATAAGACATAAAAGTAGAATGTTTTGTGCTGTGATGTTATGTTTCCTTGAAGGGATGAATTTTATATTTGCCTGGCATGGCTTATATTTCTCCCAAATAAGTAGATCAACACCCTGTGGAAAGAAATGGAGGTACTTCTGACTGGGAGCATCAGATCTCACAAGTCACTGTCAGACTTACTAGGGACAATTTTACTGTGTCTTCATACAAGCTAACAGCACATGCAAATCATTGTAGTGTTTCATCTTTAATTCTCTGTGATTGGCATCTATTTAGCAAACTTACCTTTATAAACATCTTGTATAAATACAGCTTCTAACCATATGGAAAAGAAGAAACCCCAAAAATAGAAGCAGTAAGTGAAGCTAGAACCCAGGTCCTGACTCTAGGATTTTAAAAAACATCTATTTTTTAAGGTAGTATTGACATGAACTGTTATTTGTCCTCTGTCACAAAACAGTGATACTGGCTTTTGAGTTAAATTTTGAAGTTACATGATTTGGGCACAAACTAGCCCTGGAAACTAAGGTTTCTGGTCTGTGAAAGCAGTTATGCTACTTAAAAATAGGAATGCCACAAACAAATCAAAACAAAAGTGATGTGGATAGATCCTTTGAAAAATTCAAAATCTGATAAATTTGCAGCTGAGAAATATTTTTTCTTTAAAAATGTGGATTACTACTCTCTCAGATGCCCTTATAGTAAAAATCTACTCAATATATATTTTTGGGACAGAATTTTCTTTCTTCACATAAATGTGACTGCAAACATCTGGCTGTGCAAATTAAATATTGACTATTTGCCATCCTTGTTATGCTTGGTAGTTCTGACTTCTTGCCTAATTATACTTCTGCTCACTAGTTACCTGATGACATCAAAAAGCACTTTAGATATTAACAAAAGAAAAAAAGCCAGCAACCTCCCCATAATTCAGGAACAAATAATTATAGAATTTTGTACTGTTTTGTACTGTTCCTTGTTTTATGACAACAAAACTGTTAAAAATAGACTGATTTATGGTTTAATTTGTCAACAGATACATTTTAAAATAATTTTGCTGAAAACAAGTATATTTGTATGTATAGCTATCTTACTATAAAATCTGAGGTCAGATTATTTTTTGGCTTATTGAACCACATTTGATGATGTGGTGTCTTCCCTCACTAATTTACTGCTATGTGCAAGCATCTTCCTGCCAAACCTACCTTATTAATGCAGACAGGTCCATCTGGGCTAGAATTTGCTTCCAAATGTGAGAATTCATCCAAGAAGTAGTACTTATTGTGAAGAAGATGGAGTGTACTCAGTGCAGGAGGTGAAACAAAAAAGCCCTCAGCTGTTCTTCAGAATTTAGATATTGTTTCCTAAACATAAAACTTGATGAGCATTTTGTTTAAAATATTAAACAAAGGAGATTCATCCAGGGACAAAGTTAATTCATTTTAAGTTTAGTAAATAATTATTGTATTATGTTGTTCACTGAGTTTCACAGATTAGTTTGGCTGACTGTGTCTTTGAATATAATTATCAATAGCCTCTTTTTGCTGTACTTCCTGGTGTCAAAAATAGCTTTTTAAAATTTAGTCTAATCTATGTGAAAATTCAGGAAACACAGCTTTGCATTAGCAAAAAGTAACAGCATACCTACATTTGCCATGCATTTGAAAGGCAAAGTGCAGCTTTTGCTTAAAGCTGAAAGATGTTGAGCCTGGTGACCTCCTGCAGCAAGGGGCTTGCCCAGCCAAGGGATTGGAGTCCCAGTCAAGGGATGGATCCTGCACGTGTGGGTGATCTGATTGTCTATGGTGGGGTTCACTCCTGGGTTTCTGCAACAGAAGCAGGGCGGATTGCTCTGCTTGGCAGCATTCTGAGACCAAGACCATTTAGGCATAATGGGTTATTGGTTGTGGGTGAGGAGAATTCACTTTGGCTGCTGACCAGATATTGTAACAAATTGCTGGCTGCAGGCTGGGTTGCAGTCCATGTACCCATATAAAAATTAACTGCTAGACACTAAAGACTCTAAATCCCTATTCACAGTGTCACTTAGGGTAATATGACCACATGCAACAGGAGACTAATGGATAACCTCAGTCTGGGTTATGCATTATCTGCATAGTTGGGCTGGGCTTTGCTTACTGAGAAGGCTTAAAAATAAAAATAACAGAACGGTGACGGCACATGTATGGCATTCAAAGTATAGTCATCCTTTGTTGTCCTGGAGGTTGTTTAATAGTTCATTTTAATTGAGGAAAAAAACCTCTGTGATTTATTTAGATTATTTCAGGAGATAAATATCTATGCCTGTTTTTAAAATTGGATGTAAATTATATATTGTTTTTTAGGTCAATACCATTTTAGATATTAAAAAATAAAATACATACTGAAAATAAATCTTATTTTCTACATAATTTCACCTTGTAATTTTCTGTGGTCATAGTAAATATATGCAAATCTTGTAACGCACTTTGCTTTTTGTGGCATCATCTGCAGGTGTATTACAGGCCAACATAAAGTTAGGCAAGACCCACCTATTGGTTCCTCTTATTTCCACTGCAACAAGTATTCTTACAGCAAACCCCTGCATGTCCTGGGTGCCCTTCAGCTCTGTCCTTTGTGTTCTTGGAATTTAACTGGAGCAGCTTAGTTGTGTTTCAGATGTTATTTTGGCTAAGTGTGTGTTTATGTTTAAAGGATAAAGCAGCCTGTAAAGCAGCACCCTTGCTTTTGTTTCCTTTTGTTTTAAACTGTGGTTAAGGTTTAGGTCATATATAATCATACTCATGATGACTGCATTGGGAATAAGTTGGGATTTATGGAAGAAAGGAATTGTGCCTTCTACATTATTATGGTGCATTTCTGGGATTTTTATTGCTGGCATCAAGACTGATTGAATTCTACTCTTACGTTGTCATGGCAGTGACTCCTGGGCTGTGTGCATCTGGTTAAGGACAGATAAACTGTACCCTTAACCAAAAGCCATAACTTAACATACATTTTATATATATAGAAGTAATAGACTGCTATACGCAGCTGTTTTGCTCTACTCTGCAGGTATTTGGAATCAGGATTTCAACCACAATCGGGCCCATTGGAAGGAATAGAAATAGGAAGGAAGTAGAAACAAATATAAAAAACATCTTATCTTTCATAAGATTTTCCATTAAGAATGAAGAATAGCCCCTGTGTGTATAGCAATAAAATACTTGGGGAATTTTGGTTTATGGTTTGAATTGCCTTCTTCTAAATGACTTCTTTGTGTAAAAGAAATTTGGACTTAGAAAATTATTGTGAGCTGTATGACAGGGAGGAAATTAAGGAAACTGTAGCGAATGAGGCATATGTGTTCTAAAAGGACATAGAATTGGAAAAATTGTGACTACCATTACCTACAGGAGGAGAAAAAAAATTAAATGCCTAACTGGTTCAAAAAGGAAGGAATTCCATAACATTTTAAGACCCAATCCTAATTCTCCTATAATTGTATTTAAAGGCCAGATGATTCTAGCCTATTTTCTTCATGTTTTCCCTGCAAGGTGAGGCAAAGCTGGCAAAATGTCATGCAAGTTATTTTATATGTGGAAAACACTCTTTAGAATTTCCTGCACTGCAGCAACATACAGGCTTCTATTTGGAAAGACAGGGAAAGATCAGCACTGATATTTGGAGAGAGCAGCACTGATATTCTCTACAATTGTTAAAGTTGTTATGATGGCTAAAAATACCACCAGTTGCTATAGCAACCGGAATTTGAAGGCTCAGATATTCCTGCTGCTTCTACTCCCTTTCAAAAAATTATCAAAACAAACCTTTTCTTGCCCATAAGTTAAAATCTTTAGCTGTTCTGTTAGCTGGGTTGCATAATGCTTATTTCCTTCCTGCTCAGTTATGCATTACTTTAGGGGGAAAGTTACTTAAAAATGCTAGGGTTGAGGACTAAATAATTTCAACAATCCAGAGAATTTCTTTAGAACCATAATAAGCACTTTTTGCTATTATAAATATACTTTAAAATGTTGAATATTAAATGTGTGATATAAGGTAAGTGCAAATATCCAACATCTATTCTCTTAAGTTCTACATCTGGCTGATTTTTATTGGTTTGGGTTTTTAATTTTTTTTTATTTTTGTTGTATTATTTTGTTGTCTTTGACATTCTTCATCTTAACAAATTATGATCCCTTGGTTTTTGTCTTCATTATGCTAGCTGTGTCCTGAGATAGCTTTAAAAAAATTTGTCTAATGCTTTACAGTATTTAATTAATATCTTTGGCAATTTCTTTCACTCTGATTTTTCCTTGGGTATGAAATGATATAGTAAACAAAACAGCAACTCTCCAGCCTTGTTTTTTTTGTAATGTGCTCACATCTGTAGTGTCATTTCTAGAAAAACTGTTCTCCTTGAAATGTTTCAATATTTCTTACTGATCAGCTTTTTTCCCTCACTTGCTGTTTCTCACTAGTGGTGTCTGTGTGGAATTTCAATCAACTTCCCCTGATGATTGGTGGGCAGTAAGGCTTTGTAGATTGAAGTTGGCTGCAAAGGCAAAGTCTCAGGCAAGTGGCTAAATGAGAGCATGAGAAGTCCAAGCCAAATAAAACTCTCTCTCTGTGTCTAAAATAAATCAAAAGGTTGTGCAGTCCAGAGTAAGATTTGTATTTTAGGATGTGACTACCTAACAAACATATTGTGAGACCAGATATCTGAGCTTACAGTATCAGGATGGGTTTGAGAATTGTGTCCACAGATTTGATAGCCTCAATAAATTAGAGTATATTTTTTACTGAATTTTTAACAGCTACCAGTTTTCTTTCATCCTGAGTGGATGTAAAACACAAACAAAAATATCCAAATTTCCAACCTTAGACAAAATTCTCTGTAGGATCTTTTTTAATGAAATTTTTCTTTTGTTTCTTTCTATCTGCAAGGTACTAAATGAATATGGTGCCTGTTTAAGGCATTGAGCTCATCCCATACATAAGAAAAGTTCAGGCCATTTTCCTATATAAAATTCAGGGGCACTGTCTGCCTGCTGCTTACATCCAGTTTGCTTGGTATAACAGAAAGAAATTTGCCCAAGGGCTGAAGATTGACCTAGTGCTGCCCTTACTGAAATCAGAGGTACTTCTGCCACTGAGAGACAGGATTAGGAGCAAATATGAACAAATAGAGCCCTTTAGAAGGCATTTAAAAAAACTGTTTCTGGCTTTTAATTTGCCTGTCATGAAGATGAGAAAGCAATGAGAATATAGATTTTGTGACCTTTATTTGCTGCTGAGTATTCATAAAACTTGAAAGAGTGGTGCACATAATATGCTGTGTTTGCAGGACTGGTACCAAAACCAAACCAAACCAAACCAAACCAAACAAAACAAAAAAAAACAAAAAAAAAAACCAAAAACAAAACAAAACAAAACAAAACAAAACCCAAAGGATTTTAATTAGGTCTTACTGCTACCTTAGAAAATAAATACTTAAAAGAGCTGAATGAATGTGAGGATCTTAAATATTTTATCAATGATTAGAAGTGTATTTGGTTTATACTGATTTATATATCTTGGTAATTCTCTGCAAACATCAATCTTTATCCTGTTGCTCATATACCCTGACTGAGCAATTATATATTGCTTGCTTGCCACTGGAGTCATTAGTGTAGTCTTCACCTTTCTTTTTATAAAAAAATGAACCAGAATACATCAAATCTCCATTTTACTCAGGATGTAAAAGATCCTTCCTCAGGCAAAACTAGCTCTTAATTTTGAAAAGGAATTTCATAAATTGTTTTTCTCTTAGCAATCAAGAACTAAAAAATTATGGTTTTAATTCCTTAAAATTGAATAAATGTGTAGTTCATTAACCATGGTTCTAGTTAGATGTAATACTTTTTCATGAGTTTTTAAAGAATTTTATGTTTCATCTGTTAGGTATTTTGGATAAATTGATTATATGGTTTAGAATTATATCAAATTATGTTGACTCTGAATCCCTCTACCAGGGTGGATGGAAATTTGAAGTTTGATCTATTCAAAGACACAGGACACTTGCATGTCAGCTTCAGAATACCAGCTAGGTATTTCTAAAGATTTTGCTCCAGTTTTGTAGTGATCTCTTAGGGATGGGCTATTTTAATGACTAAGTCTAAAAAGTTAGTATTCCAACACAAATAAATTGATACAAACTTGAAAAATATATTGGGGATAAATTCCAAAATGATGAGTTTGTGGTGAAATAAAATCTCTTTTCTCCATCTAATTAAAACCAGTGAGTTAAATTTAAAAAGCCTTACCATTCAGATACTATTTATTTTTTCCCTTTTTAGAAATCATCATTGTTATATGTGCAAATTTATTCTGTATTTCAGATACTTTATAGCACATATGAACTTAATTTTGTTTGAGGGTTGAATTTCCGTTATCCAGATAGTAAAAACCAAACAAAATTTTAAATGTTATCTAACTGGAAGGTGAAGTACCTTGCATATTTTGAGGACCACTGTGGTTTCTGTAGTAACAGAAGAGGAGCATATCAGCATACAGAGCTTAATATTCCCTTCTATTTCTGTTTTGTATGTATTTAATAGTGGGACACAGAATTATTTGTAGCTCCTTAAATATAGATGTCAGACTGATAGTATTTGCACTTCTAATTACTATGAGAATCAGAACTGTATCTGTAAACTGCAGATCAAGATGGCAATCAATATATTGATATGCAAACCACTGTAATCGGAATTTCTTACTGAACCGTGTGATATCTCAGTTTTGATGTAAGAGAAAGGCTTTTACTGTATAGTTTTATCAGTGCCATGCAGTCACTGAGAATGTGTAGGATTACTCTGAGCATGGGTAGACTCATTGTATGCACAGTATTTTAGAATCAATTCCACAAAATTAGAGATAGATGAATTTCACGTGATGAGACATAACCTCTGACCAACCTGGCCAGAGATATACAGAATATACCACAACAATAGACTACACCTTAAAAAGGGAAAACCTTTCAGTGAAATATGAGAAAAATTATTAGAGTTCTTCCTAGAGGACTCATCTAACATAAAGAGAAGAGAAAAAAGGCAGCAGGAAAATTGAAGGGAACTATACATCACAGTAAGGTAAGATCAGGCAAGAATTATACAGTTCTGATTTCAGCAAGGAAGTTTTCTACTACATATTATTGGAAACTTGCTAAGGGTGAAGATAATAAAGAACTGAAATAAATTGCCTATAAAGTTTGGATTTTCCCTTTTGGAAACCTTCAAGAAGTGATTGCTTGTAGATCTGTCAAATTGATTTCCATCTTCAGGCACAGTTAAGGGCAAAACAAGTGCTTTTATTCCTAGCTGCTATGATTCCTGGATAATTTTCTTTGATAAATTAACTGTGTGACTTCTAAATAAAGTTAATATATTTCATCAATGACTGCTTCAGTATAAGCCAGGAGATAACAAAGAAGCACTATTAACAAAATGAATAAAAGAGAGTGGTTCAGAAAATAGGATTTATCTCAGAGCTGTTGTTATACTACTACTACCACAAAAAGTGTTAAGATTCTGACAGTGAGTTTTATGAAAGATAAGCTAGTACTACTGAAAGTGTACTTTGAAATGCCCATTTCTGACAATATATACACTGTAATTCAAAATAATAATAGAATAAAAGAACATTAATACCTTTCAAAATCAAATTCATTAGAGAGCAAGTCTACTATTTTGAGATACTTCCTAGTTTTGTTGCTATTTCATATTGTATGTTTTCAGCAATGAATATATTGAGGTACTTCAGTACAAACAATCCTCTCTCCTTCACAAGTTCTTTATATATAAATAGGTTCAGTGTATGTCACAAATTACTCACAGATTGCATGAGAAGGCAACATCACTTGATTTTAGAATACACTTCAGAATCTGTACCACAGATATTGCAGGTCTTGAGAATGTGCCATTTGAGATGTCATTTCCTAGTTATTGCCTTCTCCCCTGCTTCTGAAACCTATAAAGAAATTTCTTTATGACTATTTTTTCCATGAGAATTTAGAACAGCATATAATCTCCAAATCACACTGTTGCCTCCTCATAAACCCAGCTAAGCTAGGTAATACTGCTTCCCTTACCCACTTTTGTCTTGCTTAATAGTCCACAAACAACTTACGATAACACAGTTGAAGCAATGAATAATAAAACAGCAGATGGAAATAAATGTCACTGCAAGCAGAGTAATATGCACATCTAGGTCATAAACTGTAACTGTCTGCTGCTTTGGGAAGGAGTGTTTCTAGAACACCTTTTTCATAAACAAAACTAAAAAGGTACTAGTTCTTACTACCTTTAGATTGTGTGGTTCACCAGAAAACTCCTTCCTCTGTGCTTGTTTTTGTGCCTGGTCTCCAAATGCTCCTCATGACCTTGCTCATGACCAATTCTCTACTGCCTTGATACATCTCAAACATGAGACAGCAGAGCAAATGGAAAAGAGAAGAGAATGAATGAAGTATATACAGCTAGGAAAAGAGTTTTCTCCCAGACACTATACTCTCATTGTTCCAGCATTCCTACAATTCATCATTTTGACTCAGGCAATGTGACACATACACTGAACACGATAGATTCTTTCTTCCATCCCAAAAGTTCATGACTGGTTTGCCTTAGTTATGTGATTTATTCACCATTTTGTTTTGCTAGGTACTGACTTATTATGGTAATGTTTTCTTCTGTTTTGGCCACTTTGTCTAAATTTCTCAATCCTTCTGCATCATGCTTTTTTTGAAGCTGTGGGAAAGTCAAGGCATGTCTAGCAGAAGTAGCTTAAAAGAGCAGTTGGTGCTGCTATTGAAACTGAGGTAAAGAAGGCATTAAGTAGCTTTTCTTTGTCCCTATGTTTCCGCCTGCATCCAGTAAAGGATGGAGATTTTCCTTAGCCCTTCTTTTTGTTGCTAATGTATTTATAGAAACACTTTTATTGTCTTTTATGGCAGTAACCAGATTCAGTCCTAGTTGGAGTTTTCACCTTCTAACTTTCTGCCTGCATAATCTCCTAACATTGAA